AGAAAATAAAATAGTGGGGCTTTTGATGGTGAGGATCAGTTTTGCAGTTTTGGTGGTGGGGTGCGCTGCGTCACACAGAAAGACGTGCCTAATTTTTTGACTGTTCCTTCGAACAATTCGGCACAGGCCGACCATAGCAAAAAAAAAAAAAACTAACCAGAGGAATGAATGGGTTAATACGTCGCCCTAGTGGTTAGCACATCTGCCTCACAGTCCAGAGCTTCGGGGTTCGACTCTCGATTTCCTGCGTTTCGGTTTTGAAATGTTCACTTCTTTCCTTGCGTGGGTTGTCTTTGCAAAAATCACACATTTTCGTTTTCGTGAAGATTGCAAATTGTCCATAAAGGGTGAATTTAGGTGTGAATGGTCTTTTGTCGATGTCACCGACCAATCACAGCGTGCAACCACCTCCGTCGCCCCAAAGTCGGCTGGGACGGGCTGCATCTTACCAGCCACCATGCGATAGATGGATGACCAATGGTGATTTGTCTTTATCGAACAATGAACAAACATGAAGTGCCAGAACTCATTTTGTACTTTTCAGAAAAAAACAACTCACTCAAAATGTGAGTATGATTGATGTCCTGTGTTTGTCCTGCAAGCCATTCCAAGTTTGCAAAAAGGTACTCGGGCTACTCGTGTTTTATTATAAGACCTGGTGTAAGCGCAACTAAGCCATCTAGTGGGTAATTGTGATACTGCAATGTAAAGCTGCAATCAGCCCCCCCCCCCCCCCCCCTGCTTCCAGTTCGCACGCCACACATTCACAAATTAACGCATTGCTTTTTTAATTTTTCGGCACAGGGGGATTTTTTTTAAATAATTTGTCCCCCCCCACCTTTCTTTCCATTTTTCCAAGATTTATCTCCCCCGTTTCCTCCCTTCATTGTGGAAAATGTCTATTGATTATTTTCCAGCGTTCTTTTAGAAGATTTTCTTAGGGCTTTGAAAGAAAAAAACAAGTTGTCCATCCCCGGTCTATATGTGCCACCCTTCTCTCGTTTCCTGTCACTCAAGATCTGAGAACCACTGCACCCACAACCCTTCTCACTATTTAAAAAAATAAGAAAAAAAAAAACGCTTTTGATGTTGAAGCTCAGTTTTAGAGATGGATTGCCCTACGTCACCCTGAGAGCTGTTTCTTTTCATTTCTCTTTGTTCTGTCCGGTGTTTGCATTTTCTGCAGGTATTCCGGTTTCTTCACACATAGCAAAAACAAGCACGTCAGGTTTGATTGAAGACTCGAAATTGTCCGTAAGTGCGAATTGCCAGCGTGTGTGGGCTGTTTACGGACAGGCTCCAGCACACCTGCGAGTCTGACGAGGGTAAACACTGAAAAAAATGGAAGGCGTCTGCTATTTTCATGTTTGATGAAGCAATTTGTTGAATTCTTGGACGATCGAACTGTCGAAGAGGTGTCGTCAAGCTCCGCCTCTTTCTTTACTTTCTTTACCGGAGCTGTGCAGCATTCGTCACCTCTGGAGTGAAAGTCTGGATGTTTTTTTTTTTTTAGACTATAATGAGTGACAAGATCAATTTGAGTTAGCATGATTTGCACTTTTTAGTTCCTGAGATCTTTAAAAAAAAGAGTTTGGAGATGATGCCACCACAGTCGCTGGTTTGTTGAAGTGTTAAAGGCTCGTTGTCAGGTGTGGGGCAGGGGCGGGGGGGCATGAGCACAGATTCTGATGTCAATGGAGGATGATGATTGATTTGTAAATCAATTTGCTATCGAAGGTTTTTTTTTTTTTTTTTATAAAATATTACGTGACTACCCAACACTGAATGGTTTTAACACTTCACAAGCTTTTTTTTTTTTTTTTTTTTTAAGTCATTCAGTAAATATTCGGAGCCCTCAAATTTGGGGGCTGGGCTTTATTTTAGGGGTGCTTCAACACCGTCCCAAAATGGGATAGACACGCTCGCGCTGGAACGGACTCATGGCATTTCCGTTCATTACGAGTGTGGTCAGGGGATGAATCAAAGTTAGACCTCAAATGGTGCGACTGTGATGGGGCTAAATTGAAAGGAAACTTCATATAATCAGTTTTTATGAGATGTTTGGGAGCCCCTGAAAACTCCCCCCCCCCTCCACCCGGGCAATTGCCTGTTGTTTGCCTGATGGTTCACCCATCGCTGCTGTGAGTGACGAATTTCTTTCATATGTGCTTGTTGCAGTGTCACAATTTGGGCCTGAACAATTTGGATTTTTATTTTTATTTTTTAATTTGGGGGGGGGGGGGTGAGTCCCAATATTTGGCAGGATAAAATTCCGATAACCGATTAATCGGCCAATTCACCCACTGCTGCTGTGAGTGACGGATTTCTTTCATATGTGCTTGTTGCAGTGTCACAATTTGGACCTGACCGATTTGGATTTATATTTATTTATTATTTCTTTTAGGCTCAATATTTGGCAGGGTAAAATTCCAACAACCGATTAATCGTCCAATTCATTCAAAAATATATAAATAATCAAATCTAAATACATATTTTTTCCCTTAACGTTTACAATTGAAAAGATACGACTTACAAGCAGAACATATTGACCTTTGTCCTTTAGTATTTGTTTAGCTTTACAGCAGAGAGAATTTTTTTTTTTTTTTTTTGGTGTTGGGGGAGAGATTTAAACATCGCCACTGTAGCCCGCCAATTAATCGTCTCGTCACAGTAGTCCACCAATGATCTGCCGTCTGGCCGCACTCGAACACACCAAGCAAACATGCACGCTCAGCCATGTGTATGAATGAACGCAGTGCTTTGGAGGGCTCCCGCTATTGATCTCCCTCTCGGAGGTCAGCACGGCGGGGAACATCACTTCCTTGAGCTCGGTCGGAGCATGGGCCAGGGGGTGTGTGGGAGGGTGGTGGGGGGTCTAATATATTGAGAAAAAAAAATTCCAAGCCTCAGGATGAGAATTACATGAAAGGTGTCCCACGTTAGAAAAATTCAGTCCTAAATGGCCAGAGGAGCACTTAAAAGAGAATTTTTAAGACAAATTACTGGCCGTTTCATGTTCATTTTACCACTGCTCCCCACGATTGGCCAAGATTAGGCATTCATTCATTATGCATTTGAACACCCACCAAGCCCCCCCCCAATGTCGAGCACACGTGCGCTTGAAAAAGGCACAAGGCCTTCTGTTATGCAACCTTGAGTCCATTTGGAAAAGCTTTACGGCCCGCGAATACCAAGTAGCATTTTTGCGTTGATTTCTGGATGCATGTTTGGAATATTTTAGGTGGGGTTTAATATTCAGTTCCTGCACCAGCTGCTCGCTTTTGACAGCGAGTTGGCCTACATTTTTGTTATTTTTAGTCGTGTTTTAGAAATCTTTTTTTAGGACTCCTTGATTTGTCTGAATGAAAAATACACTTTGTCAGAGTGGCATCAGTGTCAAAATACATTTTCCCACCTATGTACATTTAGATTGAATATGACGGTATGGCGATTGTAATTGTTAATTGAAAGGAAACATTTTTTTTGAAACACTTTAATTCAAAACATCATGAAATATGAAATACAAAACATAATAAATAAATTCGATTGCATTTTTTAAACGAACAAATTATTGAAAATGGAAGCATTCTGTGATATTCACGGTCTTTTTGAAGATGATTCAAGCAATGTTTTTTTTTTTTTTAATGAACCCTTTCATGCACCCTGTAACCTGATCACATGATCAGCTGTCCACTGTCGTAACCGCTGTCCCTGAAAGGGTTGAACTTGAACAAATCAAACGTCAAAAGCAGGCTCCTCAAAGTGGATTGTCTGCAACTTTCGACGTTGTTGTTTTGACTGCAAATCAAACCTTTACACGTCTTTTTATATGGCACCTTTCATACATAAAATGCAACACAAAGGGCTTCACAAGACAAATGATAAAAGACACAAACACATCACAACGGCTTCCCACGCACAATTTTTGCTCCCCAGAGACACACACCGCCTGGGTGTTAAAAGTAGATGCCATTTAAAAAAAATACCGTGAAATACGTAATGCATGGGCTGCTGAGACATGGCGGAGCAAGAGTGCGCATATGCGGCCGACGTGCAGCCGCTTCAACTTACCGGAAGCTTTTCCTTTTAAATCACTTTAAATGAAAAAAAATATATATTTTATGCCTCGCTGTACACAAGCCAACGACAGAACCCGGATTGTTTGCCTTCTTTCGGTAAAGTTTGAAATCCTTCCATGTTCTGTTGTACTAGCTAGCTTGCGCCAAGCCAATTCAACTGTTTATCCGCAAGTGCAAACATTTCCAGGTGCGGTGGGGTCACGAAGAGCGCACGGCATACGATGCTTTTTACGCCCTATAAACAGAGAGAGAGAGAGAGAGAGAGAGAGGGAGAGTTGGTTTAAATAAGTTCACATGAAGAAGTCCGGTCCACATGAACCCTTTCATGCACCCTGTCACATGATAACATGATAAACTGTCCACAGTTGTGACCGCTGTCCCTGAAAGGGTTAACGATTCATTGTTTCATTCTTTTGGCAACCTGATGTATGACTTAGTAACTTTTGTCGGGGCGGCGTGGCTCAGTTTCCCAACCCCGAGGTTGCCGGTTCGATCCCCGGCCATGTCGAAGTGTCCTTGAGCAAAATACTTATCAGTTGCTCCCGATGCTCTGTCAGCAGTAGATGAATGAGGTAACAGTGTAAAGCGCTTTGAGTACCCGAGGTGGGAAAGCGCTATATAAGTGACAGCCCGTTTATGTTTACACCAGGGCACTGGGGATCACACCCCCCACCCCCTCTCTGCCACATCCCTGCCTCATCAAACGATACGAAGGGTTCTCTGACAGAAGGACATAAAGCCCATCAGACAGCGGATGTAAAGTTAATTGACAGCAAATGGGCGAATGACCAATCCTCCTTCGCCATCTGTTTTAAGATGTCGGATTTATTTATTTATTTATTTTTTTAATATTGAAAGCAACGATGCAGTCTTTGAACGACGTCATTTCGGCTGAGTGAAGATGGAGCAATGCCAAAATGAAGACTACAATGATGATGTTGATGATAATGAAATGCGCGTGCAGATGTCTCATACACTCTTTCCAGTTGCCTGCAGCCCATCCTGATAAATATTCTTCGGTAAGGATGGAAAATTAATCCAAATTTAATCATGGTTTCAATTTTGGCTTCTCACAATCATGACAACAGTACCGAAATGCAGGGTGTGTTGCAAGTTCTTGCGTGGTGAAAGCACCCTGAATGCACTGTCTTGCGTGTGTAGTTAGCGTGTGACGTGTGTTTATTTTACCCTTCCTCATTCTGCTTTTTGGCTGTTTAATGACACCCCAGGTGGAGTTAAATGTAAGACTAAACACACAACAAAAAGAATTTCACATACTGTATATTTAATTACACGACATACGTTGTTTCAGAAACATTGGTCGTGCTAATGCTAGCAGTGAAGGTAAAATCCAATTGACATGCTTTTAGAAAATTAGCATCAAGTTCCGGGAGTGATATTCCTTCAAATTATGAATATTTTCACACAAACGCTGCGGAAACACATACACACAGATAATTTAGCAACAATGAAAGGTTACATTTCCTTCCTCATCTGTAAAAAACCTAATTTTCAGCTTTTGTCTTACTCCTGTCTAGATTCAAGTACTCCCTGCATTCACAGCACCACACTGCCCCTTAGAGGCCAAGGTGCACACCGCAGTTTCTTGCTAATGCCGTATTTACATTTTTGCTACTAATTTATTTTCTTATTGTTCTGTCAAGATGTATTTCAAGTAGATTTTTGGAAGTTGAATAAATTAAGTTTAGAGACCGGTGGATAATCATGTTTATTAATCGTATCAATCAAAATAATTGTGCGCATTATTTTTTTTCATAGTCGCCACGTTCTGCTCCCTGGGTAGCCTTCCTCCCGTGCCTCGACTTCATCTGCGCTCACACGGGACAGAATAAGAACATCATGAGTGGCTTTTTTTTATTCACGCCATCACTCTGTCAGCGCGGCAGTATTCGGGACCATTGAAACGCGCCGCTCCGGGGTTGTTTGTCAGCTTGCGTCTGCGGCAGATTGAAATGGAATTCATTGCCAGTGGTGGCAAGTAGATTTTTTCATGTAGAGTGGGACCTTGACTTCCAACTTTTTTTTTTTCTTTGTGTCAAGAGCTAAAATGTGACTCATGACGAACCAGCCAAACACACAAATACAAAATGAAAACAGTTGCAAGGAGCATGGAAAAGACGTGGAAAATGGAGCGGGGGAGTCAAATGTCCTGACATCATACTCTAGGCCACGCCCCATTTCGAGGTGCAAAACGTCATCGATCCATCGCCAGCGAATCAATTATCAAATTAATTGAAACTATTTTGCTGATGGATTAATCTTTTAGAGATCTATTGAAAGAGGAAACAAATTCAAAATTGTCTGAGCAAGAATACGTTGTCAGGCCCACTTTTTTTTGGGGCGCCCATATGACGTCACTAACTGTCAACAACAGAGGGCGGTATTGAGTGAGTCATTGATCTTCTCAATGTTCAAAAATAAGAATTTGCCATTGCTTTAAAATGTCATCCATGTTAACTGTTCCCTGTTCGGGTTTACCTGTCAAGATATTGTACATTTGCGCAGATTCCCCACTTAAAAGAGCTTCAATCATCCACAGAAGATTTTCTCTGGAATTTATCTAATAATGAAGCAACGCTTTTTGTCTTGTTTCTTTTTATTTTAACATTTAAAAGTTTGACAGTGTGTGTGTGTGTGTGGCTGAAAATCACCCCGCGCCTGTTATTTTTTAATCTCAGGTGAAATACAGAGCGCAGCGCAACATGACCCGCCAGGCTGTGCTCAAGATGGTGGCGGTGTGGGCGTTGGCTTTCCTTCTCTACGGCCCCGCCATCATCTTCTGGGAGGCGGCGATAGGCTACAGCGTGGTGCCAGCGCACGAGTGCTACGCCGAGTTCTATTTCACCTGGTACTTCCTTCTGTGCGCCTCCACCTTCGAGTTCTTCACCCCCTTCGTGTCGGTGGCCTTCTTCAACCTTAGCATCTACCTGAACATCCGCCGGCGTTACAAGAACGCGGGCGCCGGCCCCGATGAGGCCCCGCCCCCAAGGCCGGCGAAGAAGCAGCGGGACGGCGCGGCGGCGTGGTCCGTATTCTTCGTCAAGACGCGCAAGGTTATTCGCTAAACTCTTTTTTCTTGGTTCCAGAGCAGTGTTGAAAATCACTGCCAGTCCGCAACAGTCTAGAAAATGGAAGCCCGAGTTAACAAAAATTCGTGTATCGTGGTAATTGATGTTCATTCTAAATGTCGTGGTTGTAACAGTGGCGGTTCTAGATCAATTTCACTGAGGGGGGCCTGGCTGGGGCACATTCAACCCAGGGCAAAAAAGACAGATTTGAAATGTTATTTGACTTTTTATTGAATCAAACTTCGAAACCGTTGCAGTCAAAACATAACAATGATGAGAAAAAAAACCCAGTATAATAATCACATTTTTAAGCTTTGGTGGGTTACAACTGTTGTAACCCACCAAATCTTGAAAAAGTGGGCATGTACTGCCAATCAGCATTTTCCGCGAAAAACAAAAACCTTGAGGTCCTGTGTTTTTCTTTTATTATTTAAACGTTTGGCTCAGATCAGCAATTGACTCGGCCAAGCTTGTTGTAGTAAATGAAAACTAATGAAATAAGTAAAAGTTGAAATTTTTGGAATAAAATAAAAATGAGTTCAAAGATAATTATCTGAAATTATCCCTCCATGAGTTGTCACCTTACCATGTCCCAATGATTCCAGGAGCTAAGTTGTCTGGGGCTTTATTTTTATTTTTTTTAAAGCATGAAAATTTTGGAAAAGTTTTAAAGTTCATCCAAACTTTCCTTGTTGGTGCTTGGGTGGAGGATAATTGAACCATGAGCCACAATGCTCGCGCTTTCTTTATTTCGCCCCCCGTTATAATTAGAGACCATCTTTATTAAAACTGTCCCAAAAGTAGCCTGCTTGAGAGACATGTAAGCTATACATTCCAGTAAAAAAAAAAAAATAATAACTGCCCTCGATATAAATAATTCAATATGACATAATCTGAAAGCTATGTTCCTATGACGGATGCTAACATCGATGCTCTAATTTTGTACTGTACTCTGCATTTTTTAGGCCCTGAAAAATGTACAAATCAGCAAATTTGTACCATAACGGGCATTTTTAGGTTTCGAAAAAAACAATCATTTTGAGCCGGGTGTTTTTGAGGCCTGGAAAAAAAGTACTTTGATGAAACGGACAATCGAGTTATTGTTCGTTTAATTGAGGTTCCGCTGTCATCAATTGAAAATGGAAAGATAGACTAATCCACCGACTGCAATCATTTTTGGATTTTGTGTGCCCTCAATCATGCACCCTGTAATCGCTGTCTACTGTAGTAACCGCCGTACCTGAAAGGGTTAAATAAAATGCGTAACTAATTGTCATGACTGTTGTGAAGGTGTCGTGCAGCGAGCCCACCGCCATCTCAGCCGTCATCGAGGACGATGACGGGGTATCGCCGTCCTCCTGCGCCCACCTCGACGCCAGTCACATCCTGGCGCACCGGGAGAAGTTCTCGCCGGGCGGGAGGAACTCACGGCCGTTCCAGCCCTCGCCGGCGGTGTCGGCGCCAGGTCGTAGGGCGCCGGGATCCCGCCTTTCCCGAGACATCAAGATCGCCAAGTCGCTGGCCGTCATCGTTTGCATTTTCGGCATCTGCTGGGCGCCTTACACGCTGCTGATGATCATCCGCGCCGCCTGCAGCGGCACGTGCATGGCCGAGTACTGGTACGACATCACGTTCTGGCTCCTGTGGCTCAATTCGGCCATCAACCCGTTCCTGTACCCGCTGTGCCATAGCAGCTTCCGAAGGGCTTTCTCTAAGATCCTGTGTCCCAAGAGACAATCGGTCCAGCCTCAGGTGGTGGAGGCGCAGTCGTGTTAAAGCGAAACACTTGAACCAATGCAAAAACTGCCAAACTGTGTACAAAAAAAAACAAAAAAACAACTCCACTTCCTTGTTCTTCCATTCCAAAAGTCCAAAATGAGAAAAAGAAAGAGTCTGTGAGGATGCTCAAAGCACATAAAGATAGAATCATAAGAGCGAAGACCTCCGCCAAGGCCGGACAATCGAAAAAAAAAAAAAAGTGCCCCCCCAAAAAAAACCTCACTTATTTGCAGTACCCTTTGGGTGAACTCGCATTCGGGTCGACAGACTACATGCAGTGAAACCTCTAAAGTTGAAAACAAAAAACCTTTACATCATACTAGCTGTATCCAGCTAGACATTTTTTTATGCCGTACATTGTGATATAACCTTTTATTTTATTTAAAAAAAATAATATGTATTTCATATTTTCTCCTGATAGAAAATAGCGGAAAAACTGTGCTCGTAAATCTGTTTCAGAGTCAAGTGGTTGCCACCATAACAATATTACAAAAGTATTTTGTATGTTTCTCTTTTGTTTTTTTTTTTAAACTATTGAAAATATTTGTGTTTAATTTTTTTTAATCAAATCAAATACCAATTCATGGCAATAGCATACCAATACTTAGTCCAATATTTCTACACATTGAGCCAAAGTAAAACCAATGACAATAAAGTAATTCAAAATATTTTAATTGATTTTTTTTTATCAATTAAAAGCCTAACCCTAATATGAAACTCCACTTTGAAACCCTAACACCAGTTTGAAATGCTACACTGAAACCCTAACGCTAGTTTTAAACCCTAATTTGAACACCTAACACTAGTTTGAAACCCTACTTTGAAAACCTAACCCTAATTTGAAACCCTAACCCTAGTTTGTAACTGCAATTTGAAACCCTAACCCTACATACAGGTCAAACCTAAACCTAATCTGAAATCCTACTTTGAAACCCTAATTTGAAACACTAATCCTTGTATCAAACCCTACTTTGAAACCCTTAACCTCATGTGAAACCTGACTTTGAAACCCTAACCCTAGTTTGAAACGCTCCTTTGAAACCTTAATTCTAATCTGAAACCCTAATTTGAAGACCTTGGCTTCATTCGAAACCCCAACCCTCGTTTGAAACCTAAATTTGAAACCCTAACCCTAGTTTGAAACCCTACTTTTGAAACCCTAACCCTAACCGTAGTTTCAACCCTACTGTGAAATGCTAACCCTACTTTGAGTTCCTAACCCTACTTTGAAACCCTACTTTGACACCTTAACCCTCGTTGTGAAACCTGAACTCTGAATAGCAGAGAGATCTGACTGCAAGTTAGATGAGACTTTTCCCATTGATGAATAAAACACAGCATGGCAATGTCAAATTTGACACCACTTCGGCCATATTGTACTGTACCTTGTCGCAATAAGATCTATTGCCTGATTGCCTGCTCTATGGTTATCAGCACATTTCTTCCCTCCTTACACTCCCTTCACAAAAAAAAAAAAAAAAAAAAAAAAAGCCAAAGAAAAATAAACGCACACTTGCGATGTTAATCCTTTCAAGGCCTGTGTATACGAAGTCTCATGGGATTGGCTGACTTGTCGAGGCGAAAGAATCTTGGAATTTTGAGGTTCCACTGAAATTTGGAGCTAATTGCACCCCCGTGGCAGAAAATGCTTGAATTTTGCTCGCAAGAGTTGTTTGCATCAAAGTCACAGGGGACATATGTCAAGTTGAGTTTTTTCATTTGGTTTACAACATTTTCAATTCTGATATTACATTGAGTAAATCTTGTGTTTAGTACTTGGCAGCTGGGCTGGGTGAAGATCTGTCATTTTCAAGCCACCGACAATGCGGAAGTACTATCATATCAAAAGCAAAAGCTAAGCAGAGCTCCAGTGTTGGCAGATGAGCATTAGCATCTCCCAAAAGTCAACGTTTGGCAAAATGTCAGCTGCTCGCGCCACATGCACGGATCGGACACACTAATTGGCAAGTGTGAAGCGCTGCCTCCGTGAGTGAAAATACAATCCATACTTTCATGGTTTCGTTTTATAAAAATGTGAAGAAAAAACAAAACACTGCACTTTGATCCTTGAACTTTTTTTCCTCCTACACTAACTTTTGTAAAAAATAATAATAAAATCTTCTCCACACAACCACCTTGGCGGAGGTAGCAGCTCGCGACTCTTATGGCACCTTAAAAAAAAAAAAAAAAAAAAAAAACAAAAAGGAAAAAAAGAATGACAAAAAAAAAAGATACAATCGCTCCAAATGAAAAGCACAGATTCTCTGTGAGATGTTAATGTCCACGTGGAAATGCATGCGAACGTTCACAGACAATCTCTCTGCAGTGACGTGCTTTAAGCCTTCCAGCCACTGTGTGTGTGTGTGTGTGTGTGTGTGTGTGTGTGTGTGTGTGTGTGTGTGTGTGTGTGCGCGTGCGTGTGTCCTTTTTGTGTGCTGATGATGACAATATTTCATCCCGAGATGTTTCATGATACCTTTTACTATCATCCCCAACGACAAAATGTCCTTTCCCAAGTCGAGGGGGCCATTAGGAGAACGCGTGGCTCTTACGTTTCGAAAAGATAGCAAATCCCGAAGCCTGTCGCCTCGCAGCAATATCGTGACAAATGGGGAGTCGTTAACTTTGAGGACACCTGAAAGGAAGTGAAGAGCTCGCATTTGTTTACCCAATGCTGAATGTCATTTTGTTTTGATATCATTTGATGTGAAAAGTTGGCTGAATAGGTGAAACCTGCCAACTCTAAAAATCTGCACTCGGCGTCCCTCTCGTCGACGCTCCGAAATGTACAGCACAACAAGCAGTTTTGTACAAAAAAAAAAAAAAAATCTATGCCAACTCTGTGTTAAAATAGTTGTGTGTTCTTTCGATGCAGTATTTACAACTATTCAAAGACTGATTTGTATCCTCCCGAAAAAAAAAGAAAGAAAAAAAATAGCACTTGACAACTTTGTAACTTGGCGATGAATGTGTGTCGGTGTGAGTAGCCAAAGAAAAATAAATTAAAGACTGACTATCAGAATGGACAACTTCAATGAGTACATTTTTCTTGTTCACGCGTCATTTACGTGAAGTAGAGGGCTGGCATCCGGCAAGCTAGCTCGATTAGCTTAGCATTTAACTCCACTTTATTTTTAGAACGCTTTAAAAACAACCACAGGTACACACAGAAGTGTTCCGCGTAAAGTAAAAATCTGACATAAAAAAATACATTTAAGACAATAAGCTAACATAAAAACAGTAGACACAATAAGAGATGAACTACATTAGCATTATTATGCATTGACCTAAAGTCCAATTCTCCTTTTGAATCTGACCATAAAATAAATATTTGTTTGTTTAAAAAAAATATATATAATAAAAAGATTTCAAAGAGTACATTTGATTTTAAAAGACACGTTGCTTAGCGGTCTGTAATTTACATTCCATCCAGAAGGCTAGGTAGCTTAGTTTACTATTAAGCTAACCTCCATTTTTTGTTTCTCAAAGACATTTAAAAACGGTTCACAGTTTTGTCTTCCTGTCATGATTCATGTTCATAAAATCGTCGATGGAGAGAAAAATGGACGGCGAGAAAACCCACGCAGGCACAGGGAGAACATACAAACTCCAAACAGGAAGCCGGAATCGCACCCTGCACATCTGCACAATGAGGCGGACACGTTAACCACCGACCAAATTTTACTTCATCAAAAAAAAAAAAATTTGAAATGGTTGCTTGAGAGGTTGCACAACAACAACAAAAACTGCACTAGAGTAGTTCCAACCCAACTCACTGAGCTGTTGAAAATGTCTTTCTCAGCTCTAAGCGTTGTTGTTGTTCCGCCGTTGACCCCATTTAGCAGTCGTACTGTTTTTTTTTTTTTTTCCCCCTCACTGAATATGTGCAAACACTTTGAGAGGCTGCAAAACAAGCACTCAAAGGCGTAAATGCTCTCACTCAACATGCGAGTGAGGTACTCGCGGGACAGCCCGCCCGTCAAAAGCCAAACTGTAAAGAGGCTCGTCCGCTCCAGTCGGATGAGGGGCCGGCACACACATACGCGCCGGCAAAACAAACATGCCAAAGTCAATTTCGAAGCATTTCTTAAAAGGTCAGCCGAGGATACGATGAATAGACTGCTGCGAAGGTGACCTGTGTCGAGACGCAGCTGGACTTGCAAATAGAAAACAAATTGCTGGCTGCCAGCAATGACATTGTTTCAATGTGCCCTGGGAGAACCACCAGGTGATAGTCTGAGCCATTCCAAAAAGGAAATTACAAGCGGTTCGCAGTAACTGTCATCAACATCGCCTTGGGATAAAATGCCGGGTGACGGCGGCAAAATTGTCCTGTTGAAACAATTTCAACCCAAACACAAAGCACACATGAGATCACTTTTAGTGTAATTGTTTGTGGAACCCGTGATGGTTAAAAATCTTAGTAATGTGCTGAAAAAAAAACAAACAAAACATAGTATTACACACTGGTTTAAACTATTCTAGTTGCATTTGTCTGCATTGTTTGTTCCCTAAGAAGAAAAACTCTTGATGTGTCATTTTCCCAAGAATTACACACTTTTGATGCTGCCACCCAAACACAAAGCACACATAAGATCACTTTTAGTGTAATTGTTTGTGGAACCTGTGATGGTTAAAAATCTTAGAAATGTGCTGAAAAAAAACCAAACATTAAAACATAGTATTACACACTGGTTTAAACTATTCTAGTTGCATTTGTCTGCATTGTTTGTTCCCTCAGAAGAAAAACTCTTGATGTGTCATTTTCCCAAGAATTACACACTTTTGATGCTGCAGTTTTCTAAAAAAGAAGACAAACTGTTGATGTTGCACTTGCCCAAAATGAAAATGTTTTGCTTTCTCCTCAAAAGAAGTTGTTTAATTAATTTTTCTCCAAAAAAAAAACAATGTTGTAATGTGCTAAAAAGAAGTTCAACCATTGGTGTTGGACTTTCCCAAAATGAAAAAAAAAAAGATTTTGTAAAAAGAAAATAAAGTTATCATAGCATGTTCCCAAAATCATGTTATTCTTAAAAATAAAAACGACTGATGTTACACTTTCCTAAAATGAAGACAAACTAGTGAAGCTGCACTTTCCCAAAAATAAGACACATTTTGTTGATGTTGGACTTTCCTAAAAGAAAAAAGGGCAAACTATTTCTGTTGTACTCTTCTAAAGTGAACACGAACTTTTCAGGTATAACTTTCCTTAAAATAAGACAAACTAATGAAATTGCATTTTTGCAAGTTATTGTAGCATGTTCCCAAAATCACGTTATTCTTAAAAATAAAAACTACTGATGTTACACTTTCCTAAAATGAAGACAAACTAGTGAAGCTGCACTTTCCCAAAAATAAGACACATTTTGTTGATGTTGGACTTTCCTAAAAGAAAAAAGGGCAAACTATTTCTGTTGTACTCTTCTAAAGTGAACACGAACTTTTCAGGTATAACTTTCCTTAAAATAAGACAAACTAATGAAATTGCATTTTTGCAAAAAGATTGATGGAATTACAATCAAGACAAAAAAACCTAATACAGACGATGTACTTCCCCAAAAAGAAAACATGCTATTCATGTTGCACTGCCTTAATAAAAAGGTGCAAAATTTCCTAAAAAGAAGACAATTTTCAGAAATGCACTTTCCTAAAAATAAATAAATAAATAAATAAATAAATAAATACATTCTATTAAGGTTCTGCTTTCCTAAAAAAGAAAAAAAGGCAAACTATTTCTGCTGTACTCCTCAAAAATGAACACGAACTTTTCAGGTCCAACTTTCCTAAAAATAAGACAAACTAATGAAATTGCATTTTTGCAAACAGAGTGATGTAATTACAATCAAGACAAAAAAAAAAACTAATAAAAAAAAAACACGCTATTCATGTTGAACTGCCTTAAAAAGCTGCAAAATTTCCTAAAAAGAAGACAATTTTCGGAAATGCACTTTCCTAAAATAAATAAATAAATACATTCTATTAAGGTTCTGC